GACTGATCTCCCAGCAGGCTACAATATGTTCCCAGAGGGTACAATATCATTCTGAGGCCAAGGAACAGCCTATTAGCTCTGCATGCCATTAATTTTCATGAATAGTTCAATCTGATGCTCACAGGAGCTGTTGGGCATCTTTCCATTTTGTCTCACAGGACCTGGATGAGGGCTTATTTATCTTTTTGTTTCACACCTTACCTTTAAGCCTAAGCATTTCAGTGCAGCTGTGCAGGTTTCCAGCCCTCTGCCAGGCTCAGTGCCCAGCAGCAGGCAGGACACTGTCTGCAGGTCGGAGTGATGGCATGTCACAGTCAAAGCCTTTCAGGGAGAATTAAACTTCAGGCTTGTTTGACTAAACTTCTGAATTCACCACAGTTCCCCTGTTTTGCCAGCCTGAAGAATCAGCCCAGCAGGTTCTTGACTCATATGCCAAAATGCCTCCTTCATCCTCCCTGGAACTGGAAATGATTACTAATAGGTATTCTTGCTGAAATGATTTAACATAACATGCTGAATGAGATCACTAAGTCAAAGTATCTTTTCCTAAGTGACTCTCTCTCTGCTTGCCTGAATGCCAGAGGGGAAGGAGGATAGCATGAAGCGAATTCTTTTGCTGGCTTTTTACAAAATCTCATAAATTACTGAAGAACTCACAGCAGGAAGTTTCACTCAGGTTCATTACAAGAGATCCATGATGCAGGTCTGGCAGGTAGAGGAGGATGGAGACACAGAGGTTTGGATTAACCTCTCTCTTTCACCCTTTCCCCTTTTCCAGTGCTCTCCAGCCTAGGCTGGGACCTGCAAACAGGCAGTGAAATGAGGTGGGCATGAAAGCAAGGCTGGTGAGGAGCTGGGCACTCCTTGCCCTGCATGCACAGCCCTGGATGTGCATCACTGTGGCAGCTGCATCTGTTACAGGAGGCTGCAGGCACCAAGTAAAACACAGAATTTGGGGAGCAACAGGGGTGTGCGCCACAAAACTCATCTCAGCATGCTCAGGGATGCTCAGGGTTTCACTGAGAGGCCAGACTGCCCTTACCCATCCGAGTCTGTCAGCCTCAAAATTAACTTATTGAGGTCAGCACTCATAACAGGAGTGTGGAGTTTAGATTGAGTCTTCCTTTCTGAGAAAGCCCCATCGTCTCTGGCCCAGTACAGCTATTACCTGCCAACCCAAAGGATGATGAATGTTATTTATATTGCAGTAATGGCTAACCACTCAGTGGAGACCAGGGACAGGCTGTGCTATGGACTTCTCAAACACCCACTGAATGAGGGCTGTACACAGATGCCTGGAAGTGCTGAGACTTTTCAGGATAATGTTCTTGAACGTCTTGGACACGATGACCTCCAACAACTGCAGTACTTGTGCTGACTGCAACAACACAGGGGGCTGTTCTACAGTAAAGATGTTCATTCAGACCAAGTTCTTATCAGTCACTGTGACTTATAATAGCAAAGAACTCATCTACTTCAGAGCAAGCAACTACTTGATAAGATGCTTTTAAGTTCCTTGATTAATAAATCTGAAATACAATCTCTTTCAAACCAAACAGAAAACACAGTGGTATAAAGAGTTATTCTAATGTAAAGTTTTCCTAATATTTAGCTGCTATTGTTCTGCTGTCCAAGAAATAAAGGGAATCAATGAATAAGAACTACTCAAGATGAAGATGAGAAAAGTAATCTAGCAAAAGATGTAGGCCCTGATCCTATAAAAAAACCTGTAAGACCAATTTAACTTTGGCATGTGCACACTTGCAGGATTAGGCTTCAAATAATTGCAGATAAATGTAAGAACTGATAAACTATAGCTTTAGCTTTCCACTACAGTGAGCCCAGAGAGTGGATAACTAACACTTCCCAGGAAATATCCTTCCAAGAAATAGCTCTGCAAAGATGCAGAGGAAATACATCTAAAATATTACTTGCAGACGGTTTTTTACTATTAGCGATTCTCTTTGTATCTTGGAAAAATCACACAGTGACTTCTTTCATATGCACTGAGGTGAAAGAACCTAAAATATTAAGTGACACATTCTACCAAGGAATGCCTTAGAGAAGGCGCTGTGAAATAAGTGTAAGCCCCTCTTCTATTCCTTCTACAATTAATTTTCCACTACTACATTTCTAAAAACATATCCAGAAATCAGCAGACATTTGTGTCCATCAGATACCTGATTAAAAGACAAGTGCTAAGAAACACCTTACCTTTAATTATACTCTTTACACTTAAAAGCTGCTTTAGACAGGGCTGTGTCAGAGCTTCATAGCCAAAAGCCTGGAGATCTCAGAGCCCAGACAAAAACAGACTAAGCAGGAAACAACCTGATACGCTTTCTTCTGCATTTTCCATCAGATGAGTGGTCATTCCAAAACTGAATGGGAGAAATCAAGCACACAGTGAAGGACTGCAAGCACTTTCTGGCTGTCTCAACTCCATAAGTCTCCTAAGAGGACTGATGTCTCAGCATCTGGGCATTCCTTCCACTGTCAGACACTGAGAGCAGTGGGATTTATCAGCAATCTGCTGAGCATATACAGATGACAACTGCAGAGCTTGGAGAGCTCGAAGGCATTTACAGATAGAAAGGGGTTTGCAAAGGACATGTTGAGCCAGAGCTGAGACCTGGAGCCTGTGAAAATTGCTCCCAATTGCTGTTAAACCTTTAGCTGTGGTAGTTAAACCAGGCACTGCAATATGCACAATTTATCCTAGGTGTGCTTTACAATTGCACAGACTGTTTGAGGGAGCCTGAGCAGCCTCCATGTCACATTTTAGAAAGGAAAAGATCATTGGGATTATTTTGGAAGGTGGTCTTTGCTGCCTAAACTACAACTTCATCTATCACTCAAATACATGGAAACGAACTGTTGTTTATGGACAGGATTTGGATTTTTAAAGTACAAATTTCAAGAAAAATAGATTTAAAATTTTCTCCAGCACCCACATCTCACCTAATGGTACTTTAGCCCTCGTCGATTTCCAGCCTGTTTCCCCACTATGATCTACATATCTTCCTAAATCTTTTAAAGTATCTCCTTGTCAAAAGGATATGACTTGCTGACATCACACAGAGATGCATTATATCAAAATGTTTTTGCTGTACTGACATAAGCTCCAAATTATTTCCAAAGTCAGCTGTATTTTCAATAATTTGTCCCTTTTTCATTTTTCAAAATAGCTTTATTCACTTATGATAGCAAATTGCTTAAGTCCCTCCATCCTCAGTCCAGACAGTGATAGAACTCGGCACCAAACTTTTTATAGTGGGAAATATGTTTTTGTTTCCCTGGCATCCTAAGAAAAATTAAATCTTCCTTCAGCTACAGTCTGTACGAAAGTGTGTTAGCTCTGTGGTATTCAAGAATAGCTAGTTAGACTCTGAGGCTATACGTTCTTCTGCTAAAAGATAATTTATCACATCTATGTCTAAATATTTATGCTTCCTGTTTGCTAAAAGCAACACCTACAATTGCTATAATTGGAAATGACAAAATAAAAAATAAATTCTTCCCCAATTTGCCACCCTTTTGCATCTAACAGCAGTAACCACATGTTCTAGTTCATAAGAGCTTTGACTGTTTCTGTTTAGCTACAACAAGGGAGAAATAATTGCGTTAAAAAAGAAGCAAATGGAATTGTAAATATGAAAGAAACAGAGTTTTGATGGGTTGATGCAGCATCCAAAACCCCTTAACACATGTGAAAAGGAAAAGATCACAGAACCACACAATCATTTAGGTGGAAAACACTGAGTCCAACCATTAACACAGCCAAGCCTATCACTGCCCCACGGCCCTGAGAGCCCCATCTTCACATCTTTTCAATACCTGCAGGGATGGCGACTCCATCACCTCCCTGAACAGCCTTTTCCAGCTCCTGACAACCCTTTTGGTGTTAACTTTTGTCTCATTCAACTGCATTAACCACCATACCAGCAAAGATTGCCATCATTTATTTCCACTGGATCTTCCTGCTCAGCAGTCTCATTAAGGTTTTACCCTATTAGTGGGGTTTTCAGGCACTACACTTCATATTAACTTGTCAGTAATATGTTTTCTTCTCCAGTTTTGCATACTTAAGTAATTGAAAAACTTTAAAACACACCACCAATTTTTTTTTTTGTGAGTGGGGACTTGTCATGTAGATATCACAAAAGAAAAAATACAAAAGCAGAAAATGTCATGATGTCTCTTTCAAGCAGATGGTATTGCAGTAGCACTGAACAAGTTTATATTAATTACTTTCAGAAAGAGAAGGAGATGTCATATTTCAGATAGAGGATCCTACCAAACCCACGAAGAACAAGCCGTAAATTTAACAATAGTGGGAATTTTTCATAGAATCGTTGTGACAGCTGTCAAACTGGGGAAAACTTTTTGTTAATGCCAGTACAATTGTTCATTTAAACAAAAGCCAGTGATTCAGTCACACTGGAACAGCTCATGAGCCAAGCTCTGCTGCACAATCTGCACACATGCAGATATTCCATCTATACACAGAGCTGCTCTTTAATTTCCATCTTTGGGGCTACGGTGTGATTTGTCCAGAGCTGAGCAGAGCCCTACAAAAATCAGGCCAGAAGGCAGTTTGTGACTGAGTTGTAACAAGCTGCCTGTGTTTTCTCTGGTTGGAAGGGGGAGGTTTGGCACCCCAGGCGAGCAGCTGGCACAGGACACCCTCCCTGCATGCCAGGCTGACCATGTGGTCGCCCTTTTTCCCTGTGCCCTCAAAATAAGAGAACACAACTATTTGTAGAGATGCAGCCTGTGTGCAGTGACAGACCAAAATACCAAAGGTGTCAGCTGTATCCTCCCTCAGAGAGGCAGCTCACAAGAAAATCCCAGTATAGATCTTGGTGGTATCAAAGGATCTTTGCAAGCAATGAAAATGCAGAGATCCCATCCCTCCACCCATGGAAGGGGCTGGATTATTAAGGCAATTTACTAACAGCAAAACCAACTCTGAAGAAGAAATGGAGTGTAACTCTTACCTCCTCGTAGACATCATCATTCCTGCTGAAGTCTCCAGCCCTCCTTGGCAGCACATGGACATGAACATGCTGAGAACGTGAAACAAAATAATGGTGATAATCAAGTTCACGACTTTCTTTTCTGAACTCTCAGCATTACTCTTAACACACACAGGTAACCGTGCACAGGCTCCCACAGCATTATTTTCAGAGGAAAATACATTAACCTGTTCCATAACTGTATCTCAACCCTTTGGAGAATATAAAAGATGAAAGACATGAGAGAGCAGCCCTGGTGTATTATATGAGCTTCAGAGTGAAATGCCTGGAAGTTTAGGGGCTCTGTGGAATTATTCATAGTTGTCAGTCAGAGGCATATTTAGCCTCAGCTTTGAAATAACAATGTCCCTTGGAGCTGAGTGTTGTGTCTTTGGAATAGAGGGGAATAAGAAGGTGCTGGAGATGGGATGTGGTGGAGAGCCCGTGTGGGCAGCCTGGGCTCAGGGCTCCCTGTCTGGGGACAGAGGAGCTGCTGCCACACCAGGATAGCACGTGGGTAGGAAGGCTGACAGAAGAGGACAATGCCTCTCACAAGTTTAAAAATACTTTAATGTTTCCTTTCCTCCCTGGGGGCTGTAGCCCAAATACAACAAGCTGAGGCCTGTGGGGGCACTCGTGCTGGGGACACACCTGCAGGGACAGAGTGCCAGGGGTCCCAAAACCTGTGAGGCACAAGGATTAGGAGCCCAGTTTGGCAGAGCCTGAAGCGTGCCCCTCTGGCACAGGACCATTGCCCACGGGCTAGCAGAGCTGAGGACTGAGCTGCACAGGCAGCTTTGGATTACCCAGTTTGGGAAGGAGGTAAATGATGAGTTTTCATCAAAAGTGCTGATGTGATCTGGGGAAAACAAACAGAACTATGGGCAAGAACACAAATATATGACTTGGCACCTTAATGCTGTGTTATTACTACTAACTTTTTTTTTCCTGACACTCTCTTCCTACCATAAAGGAAGGGTAATGCAAGGTCCTCAAGACCTAAACTCTACTGGGAAAAATACTTTTCTGCAGTAAGTACAGCTACTAACATTGCAAAACATTCTTTTCTCTATTTCTCTTTTTCCCTTTGTCTTTCACTCTTGAGTAAAGAAAAACAACAACAGAGAATAATTCTTCAGGGAAAAAAAACCCAACACCTCAGTGAGGAGAGGCAGAAAATAATCTGAGTGATAGATCTCATTTATGCATCTTCAGATCTTTTTAGATGGTGCATAAATCCTTTTTTAAAAAAAGAAAATGACTGCATCAGAAACAGCACCAATCGGTTTCCATAGAATTTAGATAGTTTGCACGTGATTCAATTTGATGAGGTAGAAATCAGCTGAAACTCCTGCACCTCATCGAAACATTCTCCAAACATGGCTTAAGTCTATAATGAAATATGAAATAAAAGGTTTTCTTAGGCTATTTGTAAGAAAATTCAAACACACCTATATTGTGTTAGCTTCTATCCATAATATCATTTGCTCAGTGAATAAAATGAAAACACAAGAATGTTTCAGTTAATGAAATATTCCAAATACCACGCTATTTTTTTTTCTCAGCTTTACCCTAGAGAAACCGAATATGCGATTTCTTATTCTTATCATTATCCACAGCTTTCAGTGTATTCAGACTAGAGATAAGGGTGAATCTTGAGGGTCCAAAACTGTGTTTTTGAGTAATATATCAGTGATAGTGTTCTGATAGTGTATTATACTAATATATCATAAGAGCAAAAGTGCTCCTGTGATGTATTAGTGCAATGTATCATCTGAACATCACAGCTTGTATGATGTATTGCTCAAAATCACAAAGCAACTTTAAAGACAGTCTTCAGTAGCCCTAGGCCTGAAATTTCACTTTTGGACAGGCTTTCAAGAAAAATAGAAGTACAGATTAAAGTTTGCAGGGATACTGTAAAATTTCACTACTGTCTGACACCTGTTGTTCTCATTAGATTTTAAATTTATTCATAAGAATAGAGTCAGTTCATCTGCCAGTCAGTTTCCTTCTCTTCAGCTACAAGGAATGATAGTTTTGCTACAAGTATCAATTTTCAGGAATTTCCCTTGACTATATATATAAAATCTAACATCAGCTATCAACAACCATATTCCCCAGAAGTTTAGCCACCTTTAAGAGTAATTTTCATCTCTGGTGCAGAATGCTCCAGGACGCACAGGAGAAGATCTGTACACCCGTGACAGCCAATTTGGAATATCAGAAAACTTGCAGGGGTGTAGTCCAAAGCTCAGTGCAGAGATGCTGCACTGCAGATGCACAGACCATCACAGCAGGTAATGAATGAGCCTAATGTGATCTTCAATCCAAAATGGGCTCTTATGATCAGTGTGGGGGAAAAAAAGAAAAAGAAGAAAAAGTGTTTATGGCAGCATATGGGCCACTTGGCATTGCTGGGGATGTTCTCAGGGGTTAGTCACCCTTACTACATGCATTATGTCCTCTCACACTGCCAGGCTGCATAGCATAATCCATCAGCTGTATCACAAAACAAATGAATATTCCCAAGGTTTGAGGTAACAACAATCAGTTTCAAAGAGAGTAATTTTTTTCCAGTCATCCGTTTTTCATTTGCTTTGGTTTCTTTTTTTAACTCTGTGTATGGAAAGGAAATAAATATCTGGATTCTGTTTGCATAACAGAAACAAACCGGATCAGCAACAGTGTCTCACATATTTCCCTTCTCTTCAATTTCACCAAGAAATACAAGCAATGCAGAGCTGTGGCTGCCAGGTAGTCAGAAACACCGAACAGGGCGATTTCACATTGTCTCTAATCTCCCTTTCAGCTCCTGGCCTTCTCAGCTCAGAGCAGCTGATACTTTGATTCATTAGGAGATCTTTAATTGATCATTTTTACTCCTTAGTACTGTTTGTTACTGCTAAAGCCTCAATCCACCAAGGCACTTAAGCACCAGCTCAATTTCCAACCTGTGAATTGGTTCAGTGGGAATATTCACATCCCGAATGTTTTGTTTATGTCTCAGTGTTTTGCATCCACTGCTGGCTATAGGGAGGTCTGCCTAAATGGCAGTAGCAAAAATAACTTCAAGGTGCCCACAAATTAAAGTTGTTTCCTTCCATTTGTTTTCCAAGCAAAACAAAAACCCACGCATCAAAAAAACCATTTGCAATTGACAGAAACCTGTCAGATGCAAACAAAACACTGGGATGTTTTGGCTTTTTTTAACCAAACAAATAGATTTAGGCAAATCAAAACACTGCTTGGACAGAAAACATCTAAACATTGACCAAAATTGTCAAAATAAAGCATTTCAGTTGTTTTTCCCCAGTTATGGTGGGGATCCTCATGCCTGGTGGGTGGCAGACAGTCCCATCACATTCCAGCAGGCTCCATTCAATCACTGTTGATGGTATTTAATTTTTTTCCTAAAAATTGCTTTCCTCTCATTTTGCATTATTTTGATTAATAAGCAAGGAAAGCAACACACAACAGCCAAGACATTTACATTAATGGACCAATCAATATCACCCAGACCAGGGTAGAAAAATGCAGGCACAGGCTTGCATTGCTCAGCTCCGTTCCCTGCTCGTCAGGCACTGATGGAGGGAGCAGGACAGTGACACGCTGGGTGTGACAACACTGACAACGAGTAGTCCCCAAGCGGGGGCACTGTGTGAGTTAAAGATACCTGAGCCCTGCTAGCTGCTTCTGACACTAGGGGCAAGATTTCCAGTCAGGGATATCTGGAACAGCAGTAGCTGGAAGGAGGCTGAGGGAGCTGGATTTTATAGGACTTTGAAAATTAAAATTACTAGACTGACAGTTTTCTAGGGTAGGGACTGCAGCTGCCTCTGCTTTGCACTGTAAATAAAATCTCAGTTTGAGGAACTCCTAATGGTGAGAACTATCAGGTGATGCAAAATCACTCATAAGAGAAGCTTTTCAAGACCTTTATACCCAGAATGACAGGAGCATTAGGAAATGTACTGGAAAGGAACAAATCTCTAGTGCCACAGGAACTAATGAGCCAGAGCCAGGGTGTGATGCCTCTGGCCTCCCACTGCAGCAAGAGGATGCTCTGATGAGCTCCATGGCATTCCAGTCAGGCCTGTGGGAGCACAGGGCTGGCCATGGGCACTCTGGAGCACGCTCATCCCACCACTGCCAAAATCTGGCTGCATCACAGGCATTTGTGGGATTACACAACTGAAGTTGCTCTCCAGTGAACCAGGGTTGGAAAATGCCCAGACAGTCTCAGCCAAAAGACCTGGAGCATGTGTTGTTGGAGAAACAAGCATTCAGATCAGGTGAGTTTTACTCCAGCACTCAAGGCCATGCAGAAGGCAATGCTCCTGTTTACAGCTGGTTTTATATACTGAATTATGGTCAAATAACCAACGTGTCACCACTGCACTGGATTTAAAGTGAAAACACTAGACAAAATTAGACACTGAAAGAGATTTCCCAGGTAGACCAGAATAGTGAAGAGCAGATGACCCTGCCACATTCCACTGGGGAGGACATGGGCGTTGCCTGCAATAATTCATGGACATTTTGTTGTGTTCAGTCAGCTGCTGTGCTGGTTAGCAGAGCAACAAAGCTCAGCTTCCAGCTGAAAGGGAGATAATAGTCTGTACGTGAGCTGCTCAGCATCCAGGGCCTATTGGCAATAAATGTTCTTACAGCAGGAATGCATAAAAGCTGGCAAAGGGTCACGCAACCCTGAAGATTGGGGGGGGGGGGGTGCCAA